TTCATCAGTTCTTTCCAGCTATGAAGACCTCAGAAATAACCGACTATGACAAGTACAACATTCTGGTTGTTCTGGATGGCTTTGATGAATGTCGCCTTGATCTTGACTTCAGTGAAAGTAATAAATGCACCAATGTGAGAGAGCCAACATCAGTCAATATTCTGCTGACCAACCTCATCCAAGGAAATCTGCTTCCTAAAGCTCAGATCTGGATCACCTCCCGACCTGCAGCGTCGAACCGTATTCCTGCTGATAAAGTTGACCGGGTCACAGAGGTGCGAGGATTCAATGATGAGCAAAAAGAAGAGTACTTCAGGAAGAGGTTTAATGTGGATCTGGCTGAAAAAATCCTCACCCATGTGAAGAAATCAAGGAGCCTTTATATCATGTGTCACATACCAGTTTTCTGTTGGATCACTGCAAAGGTCCTGGAGGAATATGTGACCAAGAACCAAGATGATGAAATGCCCAAGACTCTAACTGACATGTACACATACTTTCTTTTGATTGAGTGCAGACAGGCTAACAGAAAGTATAATGAAGACAAGACAAGTGAAAGCTGTGAGATAGATAAATGCTGGAATGAAACAAACAAGGAAACCATTATATCTTTAGGCAAACTAGCTTTTGAGGAGCTTGTTAAAAGAAACTTTCTCTTTACTGAAAAAAACCTGACAGAGTGTGGTACTAACATCACAAAAGCCGCAGTTTTTTCTGGGATATTGACTCAGATCGAGAGAGAAGGTCCTTCAATGTACCCACAGAAACTGTTTTGCTTTGTCCATTTGAGCATTCAGGAGTTCATGGCAGCTTTCTATGTGTTTTACATCTTTAATAACAAAAGTGAAAATCTGCTTACCCCACCTCCTTCAGTGGTTTCAGATTTGCCTGCATCTGACTTCTACAAGAAAGCAGTGGACAAAGCTTTAGATAGTAAACATGGAGACTGGGATCTGTTTCTCCGCTTCCTGCTCGGCCTCTCACTGGAGACCAATCAGAAACATCTGAAAGAGCTGCTGATAGACAACAAAAAAAATAACAAAAAGACCAACAAGGAGACAGCTGAGTACATCAAAAAGAAGATCAATGAAGACATCAGTGATGCAGATAAAAACCTCAATCTTTTTTACTGTTTGAATGAACTTAATGATCACTCTCTTGTTAAAGACATCAAAGAGCAACTGCGATCAGGAAAACAGAATTTTGAAGATTACTCTGCTGGTCAGTGGTCTGCTCTGATGTTTGTGCTGTTGACGTCAGACAAGAAACTTGATGTGTTTGATCTGAAAAAGTATCGGAAATCAGAGAAAGTTCTTCTGGGAATGTTGCCAGTGGTCAAAGTCTCAAAAATTACCTTGTAAGTACTTTTGAATAATTACTTTTGTAATTCAGTGTGCACAAAGTTTAACTATCTAAACGGGTTTCACAGAGAAGGAGAACTCCAGTGAGTTTAGTGAGAGATTCAGTCAATTCAGTGTCAAGTTTGAATTTCAAACTTTCTGCTTTAACCTCCTAGGACCTGGCGTCCACATATGTGGACATCACATTTTGGGTTGTCTAGACCAAAATACCTAAATTTACTCTACAAGGGCCTGATATCCACTTACAATGACATTATACTGCCACTGTTCTACCAAAATCTAAAATGAATGTACATGCAGCATTCTACCATATGCAAACTTATATCATTAAAAGATTATACTGACTACTAAGTACAATTTTCCATTGACATATGTTGATCTCATTTTTCTCAGAAACAAAAATTAGGTAAAAATAAAAATCTGGTAATTCTTTGTTTTTACATTCATCAGGTCCCACTCAGCCCAAATAGCAAAGAAAAATTAAAAATGCATGCCATGAAAGAGTTCGGGTCTTAGGAGGTTAATTCAGAGGGTTTAAGAACAACTTGACATTCACTATTCAGTACTTACAGATAACTTTGTGGAAAGTCACCTATTTTCGGAAACATAAAAGTAATTGGATAATTGACTGACAAGCAGTTTCATGGTCAGGTGAGTCATGTTCCCTTGTTACTTCATAAGAGTGGAAATGTGTCACTGGCATTTACTGATGATGTGGGCAGGGATAGCTAGAGTAGGTAGAGTGGTCGCCGAAGGTCGGGGGTTCGAATCCACTGAAGGGCTACCCTGAGGTACCCCTGAGCAAGGTACCATCCCTACACACTGCTCCCTGGTGCGCCTGCTTACTGGGTGCCCACTGCTTCACTGAGTGAATGGGTCAAATGCAGAGA